TAAATAATCCAATGAATATTCCAAACATCGTTTATTATATAGAAAATGCTATATGTACATGTGAGTATTATGTACTTGTAGCATTAAATTTACAACTAAAATTTAAACGAAAAACTCATGCATATGGAATATTTTCGTTGGAATTTTCGATGGAATCATTCTAACGGAAGATATATTATTATAATATTTTTGCAGGAATATATTACCGTAGGATTGTATGTTGAAATATATATTTTTTAGTATATAACTTACATAATTTTTTTAATTAATCATAATACGAATTTAGGTCAATTAATCGCCTGAATCTTTTAAATCCTTATCCTAATTTAAACTTTTAATCATTGTAAAAATTGTTGAACTTTAAGAAAATAAATATAATTAGTGATTAACTACTATATATAGTAAGTTGTATAACTTACATAAAATTTTAGTAGTTAATCACAGTAAAAATTTAGGATAATTAATAGCCTGAATCATTTTAATGTTTATATAAACCTAGCAAACTTATAAGATAGCTTGTAAACACACATATAACATTTTTCGCAAGTAACACACATGAAAATATAAAATGCATAAATTATTTAGCAACAACAATGATATCTATATCTATCAATATCTCTATCTATCTATCTTGTTAGTGATTTTATATAACACATATATAAATATATATAGGACTAACTTTTATGTAACGAAAACGAAAATTTGTTCGTATCTTTTATGGGACGGCTACTAGAGTCGTCGGTATCCTCCACCCTCTAAAACCCGACCCGCCCTGATGGTTTCGGCTCAACAAGAAATATATGCACTTAAAGATATGAATTCACACTTTATAACTCCATACATAATGGTTGGAGTAGTAACACCATCACATTTACGTGGATGTTACCAATTTTACTATTTTGTCCCTTGTGACCCTAACTATATATATCTTCTCTCTTCTCACTGTACACAATACGCTTTCTCATTATCTCAGAATACATTTTTCCCTTTTCTTCTGCATCGTCTCTTCTTATTCTTCTTCTTCTCTTCATCAAGATTCAACTGGTAATTATTTATATCTTAATTATTAATTGATTTAATTAATTACACAATTGCTCTTCTTTATTATTCAATTCATTCATTCATTCAACAAATCACCTAAACTTAATTTTTTTTAAAAAAAAAATTTGCAAAATATATATATTATATGCCTAGCTAGTAACTTGGAGCGTATAATTATTATTATTTGAATAAACGGGGTAAAATATTAGTAGAGGTATGTTGACAGAATTAAAATTAAAATTAAATGACGAGATTAACAGCTAATTACGTGTTGGTGCATGTGATTAAACATGTAAATATGTCAGGGGACAAGTTAAATTAATTAATTAATTTTTTTATTTATTTATTTATTTATTATGTGGTAGGTTGAAAGGAACATAAACATGGTGTATGGTGGTGAGAAGAAACTTAACCCCCTATGAAATCAACTGAATCAACCATTTGTATGATTATGGTGATTATACAAATATTTGATTTCGTTGATGTCATCAGGGGTTAAGTTTCTCCTCACAGCACCATAATCACCATAGTCATAATACATCACAGCCCCACGAACGTTGGAGTGACCAAGACCGAGCGCATGCCCGATCTCGTGCATTGTCACTATGTCGAATGATTTAGACTGTGATCCGTCCACCCATCTTTCGGATGAGTCAAATATTATGCGGCTATCTCTGGGTGCATGAGCTTGAACAATGGTCCCGCTCGGCCCATCGATGCATGAAAAACACACACTTATGTCGCTATAAGTGTCTTCGACATAAATGTGGAGTTCTTCCTTATGTCGAAGACACTTATAGCGACATAAGTGTGTGTTTTTCATGCATCGATGGGCCGAGCGGGACCATTGTTCAAGCTCATGCACCCAGAGATAGCCGCATAATATTTGACTCATCCGAAAGATGGGTGGACGGATCACAGTCTAAATCATTCGACATAGTGACAATGCACGAGATCGGGCATGCGCTCGGTCTTGGTTGTAAGAAATTTAACGGGTATATCCATAACTATTAGGCGGAATTGAATAAACCCTAAGCATGTAATTCTATCAATTCATAGAATATGGATCTTTGCATTAATTAAATTGCACACAGAACTTACAAGAATCCAGCTTAAAGTCCTTCCCTGTTCATCTATGATGTTGATCTACGATCATCTTTCTCGTAAACTTCAATGATGGATTCGTCTCGTTTCGTCTCGTAATCTCCAACAATGGATTCGTCTATGCCTATAAATTGTTTCTCTCCCCCACGTCTCTCGTCTTTCCATAAATCCCTTGATGTTGAGAACTTTATTTCGTATGAGATGGGAGAGAGGGGTATGTAGTATATATAGGAGGAGGAGACTTAGAGTCCTAATCATACTACCATTCCCCATGTTCTAA